GCATAACAACAGACACAAGTGCAAAAGGTACTGTATGTAAATGGCAAATGCATTAGTCTCATCATTAGTGAAAAGAAAGAGCTTTTAACTTCCAACCTTTAGGCTTGTCTTAAGTAGATTTTACTCCAGAAGGTTCAAAAGCAATTTGTAAAGAATGTGCACTTTTATTTGAAGTTTTACACTTGAATAAAACTAAGTCGCATGAGTTGTTGCATCCATGTTAGAGATGACGGGCTAAAATATAAGTAAATCCAGTTGAGTGTAGCAGAAGCTGTAGCTCCCACACGTACCCTCAGAGCCTTTTTCTTCTGACCTGTGAAAATGGAAGCGCCTTTCACTTGGAAATAGCTATGTGCTCATATTGTTGCTCTATTTGAAAACATATCGGTGGAAATGAAACCCAAGTGAAGCTGTGTGCTTGTGTGTTGTTGATTGTAAGCTGAAGCTACAAAATCAGAGGAGTATAGTTTAAAATGGGGAGAGCAAAAAGAAGGGGAGGAAGATACAGTAGAAGCTGTCGGAAGTTCTGTAAACATGACAAACAGTCAGGGACTGATGGTGATCTAAGATGTCACTAGCCATGTTGTAAGAGGGTCAGACTTACTTTATAGTACTTTACTATATAGCTACACATCAGTGGAGTTACTGATAGTTTTAAAAGCCGCTTGTGTAAGTGTGCAACAGGCTTCGTTGCTGAAAGTGTCTCTTTTTACATCTCAATGTTTAGCTTAAAATGATGTCTTAGATTGATTGACATAGGCTGCTAAATTAGACTTTTGTGGTCCTTTTGATCAAAGATTTTTGCCATTACATGTCTTAGTTGTAGCCAGGCAAACTGGATAGTATAGATAAAAGTACAGGGTTAAAGTTGAAGTGGTGAGAGCATGTCTGGGTACCTAATAAGAGCATTTTGGAGAATTTGTCAGCACTGGCTGAAGTTTACACTTTCTCTCAAAGTGTCTTTTAGTTTCTTAATGTTTCATAATGTTTCAGCAATGTTAATGCTTTTTTAATCTTCCTCTGTCTCTGCAGGACCCCCCTAATAGCAGCTGGCATTATCGGAGGGCTATTTATCATCGTCATTCTGGCACTCAGTGTGGCCGTGTATGTTCGACGCAAAAGCATCAAGAAGAAGAGGGCCTTGAGGCGATTTCTAGAGACAGAGGTGAGAGGATAGAGGTCATCATAACATCAGTTTTGGTGAATACATTTATCCAGGAGGTGCTCATTAAAGCAACTGCTATTATGAAATGGCCTTTCTCTTATAGTGCATTTAAACAAAAGAAGATACAGAATTTTAGGCTGGTTAAATTTGTTAAAGATTCATTTATTATTGGAAACTTTCATCATCATTTGTGCTCAATAGGGTTTGTTTGTATACACATTTCACATTTTGCATCCTCTGAAAAGTCTCCAGGTAGTGCTGCTTAGCATTTGAAAATGCCTGGAAGTGTACCAATTGATTAACCTACAGGATATTTAACCTGTAATTATTACAAAATACCACAAATATAGTTCTTTCTAAGAAACTTTTTAGACATTATTTGGAAATAAATTGCATTTTATAGACACATAAAATAAAACACTGCTGAATAAATTCTGGCTACTCCTCCTGTATTATCATCAGCAAATTAACACAGTATAATGAATTTTATTGATCCCAGAGAGGAAATTAGGAAAAGCTTATTCAAAAATAGCCACCTTACTGTTAATATGGCAAAAAAAGATAATAAGGCAATAAGGTATAAGGACTTTTCTGTAATCTTGCTTTTGTAGTTTTTCAATGCAAGACTTCTCACTTTCTTTGAGTTAGAGAGCTCCTCAAAGCTGCACAGCAATTTTTTACATTGATACTATTTCAACTAGACTCATAAACAAATTTTGAAACATAGCTATGGTACTTAGACACACCACGCTGTTTGCACAAGATTTCAAATTATGCAGTGTTAATTTCTGGAAAGCATTATAAAGCATTATAAAGCAGCACAGACTTTACATTCAGAGGAGAAAGTCAAAGACTGAGGTGCCAGTGAATGCAGGGATCATGTGGACATGTGTGCACTCATGGTCTGGTTGATCACCTTTGTCCTGCTACATGAAACTCTCCTGTGTGTGGCCCAACAGTTACAGTATGTCTTTACTACAGGCTCACTGAGTGGCCTGACCTATAGGTTTGGGGCAGGTTGCTTGTCAGTCTGCATTAATGTAATGTACACATAGAGGCAGCAGTGTTATAGACAGCTGTCAGGCCGGAGATGGGAGCTGGAGGAGGTCAGCCATGGGCAGCCCTTGCCTTATTCCAACCACATGCATCCATCTTAATCAACTGGCCCCTATTTCGACAGCCTCTTGACCGGGAGGGAAGTCTTCAGTTCAAGCAGATTTGCTAATGTACTGTCACACTGAAAGAGGGGCTGAGGAGGATCTGACCCATTTTACAACTCCCTGAATAAAGTTGTCCTGAGACTGAGCTTTGCTCCTGCAAAGCTTTACACAATACTAATACCAATACTAATAGTCATAGAGGAAAACATGACATATTGGGGCAGCTATGGCTCAGGAGGTAGAGTGGGTTGTTTCCTAACCAGAGGATTAGCGGTTCGGTTTCCGGCTTGTCCAATCGACATGTCAAAGTGTCCTTGAGCAAGACACTGAAGCCCCAGTTGCTCCTGGTGATGTGAATTTGGGAGTGCGAATAGGTGAATGGCCGAATAATGTGAAAGCACTTTGAGTGTGCTGTAAAAGTGTAGAAAGGCGCTATACAAGTATAAGACCATTTACCATAAGACCATATAGCCAAGCAAGTTAGTTTTCACATCCACCAACAAGATCTAATTGGGGGAAAACATAATAAAACCTTTAATGCTTGTTGGTCTGCAGGTTAGACAGACCACTCATTCAGAGAAGATCATAGGTTCAGTCCCCACAATGGTGCATATGTACACTCTTCAGCAGACTTGTAAAAGTGTCCTAAGCATGACACTAAACTCATCAATCTTTGTAGGTTATTGTGTGAAAAAGTAAAGAAAAAAACAGTCTGGTAGTTGAAAATGTCATTACAGTATCTGACCGTTATGATTTGTGCCTGCAAGGGTGTTATTAAGCAATCAGTAGCCATCATTTGAGTTAAAAATGAAGGTTTTTAATCCAAAATACTATTGTCTTTTACAGTTATCTCCCTTTTTTGTAAATCCAGCTAGACAAAAATCTAAACTATCTTGGAAGCAGAGGTGATATTCCTTAGGTAAACATAACATGCTTGATTTTGTTTCCGGCACTCATTTGATATGGCATCAGTTTCTTCACTTCGCTTTTGAATTTAAATGCTTCTCTTGAATATCTCAATGCAGGCAACCACACCGCATGCATACTTGGTGCACATGATGTTCACTTTCCATCTGAATGCCCTTCTTTGCTCTTGTCATCCAGCATACTAAAAACTTGCACCCACTGCAGTCTGTATTACACTTTCCAGAGGCTCTTTTTTGGCTGATGAAATTGTGTGATATGCTTTGGAAGACCGGCGAATATGGATTCCCTGTTTAAATGAATAACAGACCTGAGTGTGTCTGTGAATCAAGATTAAGCTTGTCTGGATGAGGGTTTTTGGGGCAGCCGAGGCTCAGGGCCCCCCCCCCTACCGGCATCTTACAGAGAGCTCACCTCGTGTCAGACAGAAAACGATGCTTCCTGTTCACACTGTCAAAACATGATCTGAGCACTCATCTGGCATTTCCATATCAAGGATGTGTGCGGCTGTGTTGAGTTGTAAAACACGCTGCCATTTCATTTCTTTGTTTTCTTTGCTTTACTATTCTGTCTCTCTTTTTTTGTACATCTTCACCTTCTCCTTTCTGTTATGTCTCCATTTTGATCTTTGTAACTCTGTTTATCTGTCTTCCTTGTGAACAGATGCTTTATTCTTGTGTGTTTAACTCTCTGTTAAACACACAGGCAGATCTTGAAAGAAATACAAAGGCTAATGTAAAACAATAAATAAATGCCTGTTTCACACTGGTGCCTTTTGAAAAATCTCTGATAACAAATAGCTTTTCATAGGGACAGACAATACAAACAGCAGAATCCCCTCACTGTTGTAGCATGACCCCAGGCCTTGAACTTTGACCCAAGTCCAGTGAAGCAGGACTAATGCCCTTGGAATCACCCTCTTTGCCTGAACCCTTGTTCAAGATCATTTTCTAGCTGCTTTGTACAAACATGGGTCATGTAAGTGTTTCAGCACCACAGGCTGTGGACTGCTCTTGTACTGCTTACTTGCTCTCCTCTGCTCCCTTACAAGGATTTCAGCATTCAAGAGAGAGAGACAGTTGTTTTACCCCAGAGCAAGCTGATCCAGTGGCTGCACGGGATGCCATTACACATGCATGTGGGGCAGCCTAGTGCTTTTTAAACAAACTGAACCTTATGTTATATTTAAGTCAAGATCCCAGTGATTCAGAAAATATCACAATGGTGTGAAAATGATATACAAGATCAGCCAAAATGGCTGCCAAATGTGTGGTAATTATGGAAATCAGTCAATCAATCAATCAGTCTATCTATCTATCTATCTAATAGAGATTGTATTGAATTGTATTAAGGTCTTAAATACTGTCACACAAGCCAACAAGGTAAAGCATTTAATTGTAACTGTCTTCTTGACCCCTAATACGTGAAGAAGTCACATAAAGGTTTGACTATTTTTCCTATCAGATATGATCAGCAACATCAGGAGAAGTATGGGGTGACAAACCTGAAGCAAGGGCCGAGGGCCCATGCTAACCTTACGTCAGGTTTAAGAAGAAAACAGCTGCACCAAGCATGTGTATTACTACCACTTCTAAATACTTGAATTCCTAAAATTTGAACCAACTGGAGAAAGGGGATTCCAGATCCCAGGTCTTAAAAGATATCCCCAGGAATTCATGTTTTTTGTTCTTTCAGCTCATGTGAGGAAGATTATTGTTTAAATGCAGATAGTAGACGAGAAGTTACTGCTGAGATGAGCTCACTAATGCCAAGACTAAGTGTCCTTGCATATTGATAGTCACACTCATCTGCTGTCATGTGCAAATTGTTTTAATGAGCTCACCCAGTCATTGTGATTCTTGAAGTATAGTACACTGGTCAATTAGAGGCCCCAGTTTCAAGAAAAAATAGGGTACATATTGTTGGATCAAACAATGTGAGGGAGTGAATGTGTGACCTTTAATGCCTTCAGCCTGTTCTTTCAGCCTCATGGTTAAATTACCATTACCATATTAAACTCATGATTTAAGGGATATTATTACAGAATCTTAAACTCATGCATGTATCCCACACCTGTGTTGCACTTGTACCTTTTGTTTCTTATATAGTAAAACAGCATCTCATTGGGCTGTTAAACCACTGTTAGGCTATTCTGACTCAGCTACACAGAGAGCAAAGCTTCATTATTCTCCCCAACAGTTCATCTTGGGGATTTTATTAGTTCATAATTAGAACTAGAATAAACATGTAATTCAAATAATTTAGACTGCAAGATTAATTTTAAGATACCAGTATGGATTCCTCACACTCACTCCTGTAAGGCAAACGTTTGTGCCATGACAGTCTTGTTTCACCTGATTTCAGGTAGACTGTGCAACAAATGTAGCATTTTATATTGATAATGTGAACATTAAAGCATATAGCCAAGGGTTTGCAGTGCAAGTTTATGTTTGAGGACATTGTTTACTTATTCAATAGACATTAATTCTGTAAGTGTATTCTAGCCTCAAGCTTGAACATACTGTTTATGTGTCCAGTGAAGCATCCGAATCCTCTCCATTGTGCCATAAGTGAAGCTCATTTGGCAAAGGCACAGTGCATTATTATATGATAAGCAAAGTGGTGTGGTGAGTGTGTGTGAGTACAAACAAGCTCAAGAGAGTTTTGAATCCATGGGTCTGCATCTTATTTAATAAGCCTCTTCTCATCTCTCCTCTCCTCCCCTCATCACTACAGTCCAGCCTCATTCTAATGGAACAATAACCACTACAGCCTGTCACCATCTGCTCTTATTACTGCTCCATCACCACCCTGTGCCTCATCTCTGCTGTGTCTGTCCGAAACCTCCTACTTCTCTGTACCTATAGCATGACTTGTTTTCCTGTTATTCCTTGACTGTATGCACAAACACATCAA